CAACTGAGCCAACAGCGAATGAGGACTTGAGGAGCCTAGTCATGTTCGCGACTTGCGAACCCGTCGCGGGACAAAAAACTGACAACAAACGGGAACAACGCGTGAACGAGACGTGAAGCGGCGAAAAATACGCGAATGGGATCCACACTAACAACTCGTTCACACGATACGGTACGGCACGGGAATTTAACCGAAACGACATTTTAACCGAATCGGGTCCAGTGTTCACACGATGCGGTATAATATTTTGCGCGGATACGCTTCTTGTCAGTTGTTGATTGAGTTTGGCACAATGAATGCAAATATGTTGGTTTAATGTATTGGTATCGTAGACTCTGTAAAAAACGAGTAATAAGGAGATATTGGGAACACCCTATTATTAGAGAAAGATTTAATTTGGGGTCCTTCCGGACACTTATGTGTCAATTAAGAAGAGATGAAATTAAATTTTTCAATTATTTTCGGATGTCTTCCTCTACGTTTGATGACCTACTTAATAGAGTGAAAAAAGACTTAACTCGAGAAGACACAAATATGAGAACATGTATCAGTGCTGAGGAAAAATTGGTGATATGCTTAAGGTAGGTGTCATTTTTTAAAAACTTTATTTTATATACAAATAAACAAATCAAAATTGGAAATATCTAGATCTAAAATAGAATCTTGGCTTGCAACAGACTGTGTAGAGGGTGACGGTTCGGCAGTATATGGACTAGTCATTGGTGTTGTTACTCTTGAAATTGTTTGTGGCTGTGGCTGACTGTAATAATCATGATTTTGCCAATTATTGTAATAAGTGGCAATTGTACGCGATGGCATTTGAATATTATCGGCCAACCTTCGCTTCTTTGCTCTCATATTTTGCAATAAACTTAACACACTCGACTGAAATTCCAAAGTTTCATCTTCATCAAACGATGATAATGATGGAAGAAGACTTTTGAAGAATGTAAGATGACGATTTTCATCCTCTTTGACTGTTGAAACCTTGGATAAGTTGATTTGATGGTCTATGAATCGCATCATTTTGGCATCAACTTCATTAATACTCCTCTTTCTGCGTGCAGTAGAAGTACTGATGGGAGTACTACCAGACTGATTTGCTTCCATATCGGTTGTTCAGGTGGAACACTCTCTTCAATAACTTCTGCATCCAAGTCTTCTATCTCGGTGTTATTTTCATTATTAGTGTTTTCATGACAAACAGTTGAATCTGTAATTTTTTTCAGGAATGACATCTGCTCATTATATATATAAAGTCTTGAAGGTTTGGTCGATGTGCCACTTGTTTTTTGGTCTTTATGTTTTTTCAATGCTTTCATCCACGAGTCTCGAATGTATGTCCACTTTTTTAAAATCAGCTTACCTGGAACAAATAAAATAAAACGTTCCTTCCTTTCAGGTATCTAGCATCTGGGTGTTCGTATAAAGATCTGCATTACTCCTACCGAGTTGGTGTCTCAACAATTAGCAATATTGTGAGAGAAGTTACTCGGAGTATATGGAATAATATGGGTACTAAATTTATGGCATGCCCTGATACGCCAGATAAATGGGAGGAAATAGCGAATGGATTCTGGATGAAAACGAATTTCCCGCATTGCCTCGGTGCGGTAGACGGGAAACATATAAGACTGAGAAAACCCGATAACACTGGCTCTATGTACTTCAACTACAAAGATTACTTCTCTATTGTTTTATTAGCAGTCGTAGATTCAGAATATCGTTTTATATACGTGAATATAGGGTCCTATGGAAAAGATTGTGATTCGTCAATCTGGAAAGAATCTACATTGTGGAAAAAGTTGACACAGGGCGCTTTAAACATACCAACACCCAGACCTTTAGAACAGACACAAATAAATGTACCCTTTGTGTTTATTGGCGATGAAGGTTTCGGATTGCATGACAATTTATTAAGGCCTTTTGGCGGTACACATTTAGACAAGAAAAAGCGAATATTTAATTACCGACTTACTCGCGCTAGAAGATATGTTGAATGTGCATTTGGCATCTTAGCTAATAGATGGAGGATATTTCATCGTCCTCTAGATGTTAAACTAGAAACAGCAATATGGATAGTAAAAGCGTGTACTGTGTTACATAATTTTGTCCGAGAAAAAGACGGGTTTAATTTTGAAAACGCTCATTTGCCAGAAATCCACCTTGACAACTTACCAAAAGCACAAAATATACGAGGAGGACTATCTGCCAATTCCATAAGAACAACTTTTGCTGACTATTTTCTAACAGAAGCTGGTTCTGTTTCTTGGCAAGATGAAGCCATCGGTTAGTAAATTTATGTATGTCAAAATAAACAATAAAATACTTACCAAAAGCCTGCCTCTCCTTTTGTTCCATATCTTCGAAATTCTCCTTTAACAGAGAACATATCTCTCTCCATGCTGACGACTTTAAATTTTTGTCTTTATATGTGTCAAGTGTTTTATCCCATAAAGCGGGTCTCGCTTCCACTAAACTTATCAACAGCTCCGTATTTATTTTCTCCATTGTATATATGTAGGTATATACCATAAATATGAGCAAACTATTTAAAGCCGAAAACAAGTGCCGTTCGGCAAGATAATCGAATCGCGACTGGAGGTGAAATGGCCAATATACATTGTACGTGCCACTGAAGGCCGATTCGGTTTTTTTCCCGAACACAACCGCATGCGACCATACGGTTGCCAGTGGCGCGAACCGAATGCAAGTCCGAACGAATCGGCAGTTTTCCCGTATATGGGGTACGACCGCATCGTGTGAATATGCAGATTTAAAATATTGCGCCACTGCGAGATTCGATACTTTTACCGGTTCGATTAAATGATCGTGACCGAGTCGTCTGAACGAGCTGTAATGGGTCGCGGGTAGTTCGCGGTTTCGCGCAAGAGTCTGGATAGGGCATTAAAGACTGCGACTTTTTTATTCTGTAAGAATGGTGTTGTGTTCGGCTTTTGGTTGCAAAAATCACAGTGAGAATAAAGTGCCAGGAGTAACCTTTCATAGGTAAATTTTGTAGTTGTATTGATAACGTGAATACCGTATTTACTTTATAACTCTGTGCCTTAGAGGTATATAGTTGTAACTCCATATAATGCAATTCAGAGAACAAGCAAATTAAAGATTGAGTTAGTAGCAGAATGGCTTTTTGTTCATGTTACTGTTAATATGCAAATATAGTTTTTTGGGAAAACATATTATATGGTACACAGAACAGTTAATGTTAATGATCTTAGAATTCGATATTTGATACGACTATTTACTATGATAATAAAATCCAGGTGCAGCCTAGGATGAAACACAGTAAGTACTTACAATTTGTGGAAATAGGCTACATTTTATTATTACAAAAAATGACATCTGGAGAATATATATTCAATCGTCGTCGTCGTCATCATCTCCTTGTTGACCCAGCACAGGAATATTTTTATAAAAATCATGAAATGCTTCTGTTATCCATTGCAGAAGCAGGAGATGATCGTGCTTTTTCTTGTTAAGTCCTTTTGGGGTTTGACGCGGCGAACATAGTTCTAGTGGTAACCCTATCGGTTTTCTAGTGGATCTATTCATGTTTACCATTTTGTAGTCCTCTTGGAATATGTCTGTTTTATAGTAGAGTATCCCTGGATCCTGTTTTCGAACCTCAAGCCACACCGCTAATGACACTAAAAAGCTTTCTTTGTCTACTGTCTGTTTCTTTTGAATGAGAGGTGATCTGTGCCGGAATATAAGGCCTCGAAGTTCTTGAAGTCATCTAACTGCATCTCAAAAACTGTGGCTCCGGTTGATCTTATAAGTTGCTGCCAGTCCCATGGCGTACATATTTTCATGGTTGGTTGTTTTTTTATAACTCGTCCGATAAGTGCGTGGATATGATCAGCTTCCATGTGTGTGTGTCCATGTAGAAGAAACTTGTGAATGATACACTTTAATGAAGGACTTATAATTTGTAATATGTAAAAGTAGTTTACGATCATCATAATGTTCCTGTTTTGGCTCGGACTCCTATAATATCTATTATGTCGTACTTACTAGATTCTCGAGAATCGATTTCCTCCTGCAGTGCAAGCTGCACTAATTTTTGAGACTTTGAGGACATTACTACCGTTTTTTGATTACTTAAGCTCCTTGATCAACTTTGAAGAATGATTGAACAACATAGTTGGTAAAGCAAGCGGTGCGCAACGGAGACACGACTGTTTACCGCTGCGTAGCGATGATTCATATGATAGTATTGTGCCTATGTATGAAGAAGCGACCTCTAACAAAAAATCACTAGCTGCTTGTTCTATTTCATATATTTCATGATTATCGTGGTTAGGCGCTACGATCATTTACTCCACGTAAAGATTAACCAGGGATACTAATTATAGGCAGATAATCACAAAAACTGCAAAAATGGAGTTACGATCGTTTACCTCTAAGGCACAAAACTCCATTTTAAACGACTGCGACAATATTATTTCAGTGATATAAGTACTACTTCACTTGAATGCATAATTTAAATTAGTTATAGCCATGTGTTTCATTCAGGATTTGTTTGAATTTATCGCTATTATGATTGAATGGCGGTCATTTGCCAGTGGAGGGTGTGATATTTTTTATTTATTAATTATATTTTCAAATATGTTCAATATCAGGTTAGTTTAGTATTGTTGTCATTATCTTTCAGGTTTCCTCTTAAATATAAAACAAGGAATGGTATGTGGCTGAAGAATATGCATCTAGCTGACTGGGTTCCCACATTTTGAAATCCATGCTTTTGACAAAGTTGGAAACAGAACCTCTCTTTTGGATGATGCAGTCCCTACAATCTTTGACGAACTTCCAAAACACCTACAGATTAAGGTAATTTAACATATTAAGAAATTTACAATAACAAATTATTTATTTACTCAGTCCACAGAGAAATTCTACCAATGATTACAATAATCTGAAATAAACATATACTAATTAAGTTGAGGACTAAATAATATAATTTAGATATAGGTATTTGAATGCAGGTAACAAAGATACCTTATCCAAGATCTAGACAGCTTCTTACACCTACAGCTTCGACATCTATAAAAAATGATCCTCCCCAAGAAGATCCAGACACCCCCAGAAAGAAGCATCTTAGAAGACAACTTTTTGCAGAAAGGGTAAAGAGCCAAGAGAAATCCAGAGAAATAAAAGTTTTGAATCAGCGGGTGAGAAGACTGAAAAGACATATTGTTTCTCTCAATCAAATAGTGAAAGACTTAAAACAAAATAATTTGGTATCTTCTGAAAGCTCAGTTCTGCTTGAAAACATGCCAGAAATTACGAAGCAATTACAAAAGCGTAAGTTGGGAAAAAGCTTCAGTATTCTCCAGAACTGTGAAAGTTTGCAATTACTTTATGTTTTTTCTCCCCAAGAGGATATGGTTATGTACAAAATGCTTTTGAAACCTGTTTACCCCATAGAAGCACTATAGGAAAATGGTTTAAGACCATTAATGCTGAACCAGGTTTCACTAGTGAGACAATTAATGTTTTGAAGAAAAATGTAGAATATTCGGATAAGCCTGTACTATTAAGCCTCATTATAGGTGAGATGTCCATTCAGAAGCATCTTAAATGGGATGGTAGAAAATTTCATGGATATGTCAATTATGGCATTGATTTAGAAGATGATTCTAACTCAATGGCCAACGAGGTATTTGTTATGATGATTGTTAACATTAATGGAACTTGGAAGCTGCCAGTTGGCCATTTCCTTGTAGATAGTTTTAATGGAAATCAAAAAAGTTTACTTATTTCACAGTGCATACAATTAGTTTCTGCTACACTAGCACGAATTGTACCGCTTACATTTGATGGTGCTCCTTCAAATATTGCAATGGCAAATACTTTGGGAACCAATAATTCTTATGACTCATTAAAAACATATTTTTCTTAGATGGTGACAATATTTATGTTTTTTATGATCCAAGTCATATGATAAAGTGAATAAGAAATGCTTTTGGGGAAAGAAAACTACTAATAGATGACAATGGGAATTTCATTAAGTGGGAATTTGTAGAAAAATTAAAAAAACTTCCAGAATCCAAAGGACTTTATTAAGGAAACAAGCTGCGAAAAGCCCATTTGAATTTCTTTAAACAGAAAATGAAGGTAAGATTGGCAGTGCAATTATTAAGTGCTTCTTTAGCAGATGCGCTTTGTTATTGTGAACAACAATTGAACTTGGAGGAATTTAAAGAGTGTCAGGCTACTGCTAAATTTATTAATGATATAAATAACTATTTTGACATTTTAAATAGATCTTTGATTCCTCCAGGTTACAAAAAGTCTCTATGCATTCGAAATATAGATTCAACAAAAACCTTCATTGAGGAGGCAATCAATTATATATCATCGTTGAAATTTATTGATGGAGAAAAATTTATTGAATATACGAGAAAAACAGGTTTTCTGGGTTTAATTATATCTCTAAGAAGTGCTTTGTTGATGTATAATGACATAATTTTAGATAGAAACGAATTAATCTATTTGCCATTATATAAAGTGAGTCAAGACCACATTGAATTGTTTTTCTCTTCAATAAGGTCTAAAGGTTGTTGGAATAATAATCCAACAGCTCAACAATTCACTTCATCCTATAAAAGACTAATTGCTAGAGCAGAAATTAGGGACGGCGGTGTGGGTAATTGCATTCCACTGGATGATATACCAATTTTAACCCAATCCAGTAGACTAAAACTCCAGTGGATGATCTAAATGCAAATAATGTGAACTTGGGTGAAATTCAGGAGCAACCTTCTTTACAAACAATATGGAGGGACCATGACTATATAATGAACAGTCCTGTGATAAGTGAGTGTTCCACACAAATAATAATTTATCTAGCTGGTTTTGTTGCTCGTTAATTAAAAAAATATCAGTCACTCACTGGTGACTAGCAATATTTTTTAAATTCTCTAATAACAACAAACACTCGAGGTGGTTTAACTTACCCGTCTAAAGACGTTATAGAAATTTGCAAGCTCACAGAGCATTTCATGAGAGTAAATGAAACTGTATTGATAAAAACGAATAGTGTTAGTATTATTAAAAATAAAAATGTAGTTTACACAGAAACATTTATTGAGTATGACTGCGTTATAATATTATGGTACTTTAATTATAATTATTACAGTGTACATTTCAATTATTGGTAAACATGATTATCATCATATATGCCTCTGTTGAGAGCATATTTGTTTAAAATGCCTAACATAACTTGAATGTGTTGATTGCACATGTTATATTGTGATTTAAAAATAATATGTAAGATGTTTATTGTTATTTTATATTGAATGTTTTTTTTTAATGAACATTCAGTATGAACTGAGATAATTTATTGCTATAGTAAATGTAACAAGAACTATTTTATTGTCCTTTAAATAAAATGGTTTTTGTTAAATGGCTTCTAACAGGATCTGTTATTTCCGATTTCGTTTGTTATAAAATGTATCCTAATATATGATTGGTGGGAGAGTTTAAAACATATGTTGTTAAATTATTAAATAACTCCAATTGAATAATTTCAAATAAAATTTTATTTTTAATAATACTAACACTATTTGTTTTCATTAATATAGTTTCATTTACTCTTATGAAATGCTCTGTGAGCTTGCAAATTTCTATAACGTCTTTAGACGGGTAAGTTAAACCACCTCGAGTTTTTGTTGTTATTGGAGAATTTAAAAAATATTGCATGTCACCAGTGGGTGACTGATATTTTTTTTAATTGGTGAGCAACAAAACCAGCTATATAAATTATTTGTGTGGATCACGCACTTATCACATGACTGTTCATTATATAGTCATGGTCCCTCCATATTGTTTGTAAAGAAGGTTGCTCCTGAAATTTCACCCAACAAGTTTAAATTATCTGCATTTAGATCATCCACTGTAGTTTTTAGTCTACTGGATTGGGCTAAAATTGGTATATCGTCCAGTGGAATGCAATTACCCACACCGTCGTCCCTAATTTCTGCTCTAGCAATTAGTCTTTTATAGGCTGAAGTGAATTGTCGAGCTGTTGGATTATTATTCCAACCACCTTGAGACCTTATTGAAGAGAAAAACAATTCAAGGTGGTCTTGACTCACGTTATATAATGGCAAATAGATTAATTCGATTCTATCTAAAATTATACATTAACAAAGCACTTCTTAGAGATATAATTAAACCCAGAAAACCTGTTTTTCTCCTACATTCAAAGGAGGAATCAAAGATCTACTATTTAAAATGTCAAAACAGTTATTTATAATATTAATAAATTTAGCAGTAGCCTGACACTTTTTAAATTCCTCCAAGTTCAATTGTTGTTCACAATAACAAAGCGCATCTGCTACAGAAGCACTTCATAATTGCACTGCCAATCTCACCTTCATTTTCTGTTTAAAGAAATTTAAATGGGCTTTTCGCAGCTTGTTTCCTAAATAATGTCCTTCAGATTTTTAAAGTTTTTTCAATTTTTCTACAAATTCCCACTTAATGAAATTCCCATTGTCATCTATTAGTAGTTATCTTTCCCCAAAAGCATTTCTTATTAATTTTATCATATGACTTGGATCATAAAAAACATATATATTGTCACCATCTAAAGAAAAATATGATTTAATGAGTCATAAGAATTATTGGTTCCCAAAGTATTTGCCATTGCAATATTTGAAGGAGCACCATCACATGTAAGCGATACAATTCGTGCTCCTGTAGCAGAAACTAATTGCATGCACTGTGAAACAAGTAACCTTTTTTTATTTCCATTCAAACTATCTACAAGGAAATAGCCAACTGGCAGCTTCCAAGTTCCATTAATGTTAACAATCATCATAACAAATACCTCTTTGGCCATTGAGTCAGAATAATCTTCTAAATCAATGTCATAATTGACATATCCATGAAATTTTCTACCATCCCATTTAAGGCCCGTATCGTCAGTCGTCCCTACAATTGTAGGGCGCCTTTATGGCCTCCTTGATTGTCATAGTTTTCTACTTCTCCCTGTCAGCGCTCTATTTTGAGGTTATCTCACAAATATCTATTTGCATCAAATTTTGCTTGCTTTTGAGTTATATCATGATTTATCAGCCTGAAATTTCCTACAATTTAAAAAGAAAACATATCTTCACAATAGGAGAGCGCTGACGCTGACAGGGGACAAGTGTAATCTAGATATTTTTAAAGGAGAGAAAGAAGTATGACAATCAAGGAGGCCATAAAGGCGCCCTACCATTGTAGGGACGACTGACGATACGGGCCTAAGATGTTTCCGAATGGACATCTCATCTATAATGAGGCTTAATAGTACAGGCTTATCCGAATATTCTACATTTTTCTTCAAAACATTAATTGCCTCACTAGTGAAACCTGGTTCAGCATTAATGGTCTTAAACCATTTTCCTATAGTGCTTCTATGGGGTAAACAGGTTTCAAAAGCATTTTGTACATAACCATATCCTCTTGGGGAGAAAAAACATAAAGTAATTGCAAACTTTCACAGTTCTGGAGAATACTGAAGCTTTTTTCCCAACTTACGCTTTTGTAATTGCTTCGTAATTTCTGGCATGTTTTCAAGCAGAACTGAGCTTTCAGAAGATACCAAATTATTTTGTTTTAAGGCTTTCACTATTTGATTGAGAGAAACAATATGTCTTTTCAGTCTTCTCACCCGCTGATTCAAAACTTTTATTTCTTTCGATTTCTCTTGGCTCTTTACCCTTTCTGCAAAAAGTCGTCTTCTAAGATGCTTCTTTCTGGGGGTGTCTGGATCTTCTTGGGGAGGATCATTTTTCCTAGATGTCGAAGCTGTAGGTGTAAGAAGCTGTCTAGATCATGGATGAGGTCTCTTTGTTACTTGCATTCAAACAAATATATCTAAATTATATGAATTAGTCCTCAACTTAATTAGTATATGTTTATTTCAGATTATTGTAATAATTGGTAGAATTTATCTGTGAACTGAGTAAATAAATAATTTGTTGTTGTAAATTTCTTAATATGTTGAGTTAAATGTTAAATTACCTTAATCTGTAGGTCAGATCCTACTATTTTTTGTGGGAACCCAGTCAGCTAGATGCATATTCTTCAGCCACATACCATTCCTTGTTTGATATTTAAGAGGAAACCTGAAAGACAATGACAACAATACTAAACTAACCTGATATTGAAAATATTTGAAAATATAAGTAATAAATAAAAAATATCACACCCGCCACTGGCAAATGACCGCCATTCAATCATAATAGTGATATACAATTGATAAATTCAAACAAATCCTGAATAAAACACATGGCTATAACTAATTTAAATTATGCATTCAAGTGAAGTAGTACTTATATCACTGAAATAATATTGTTGCAGTCGTTTAAGATGGAGTTATAAAGTAAATAAGGTATTTACGTTATCAATACAACTACAAAATTTACCTATGAAAGGTTATTCC